CAGCCCCTCCTCTAGGTTAGGCACCCCACAGCTTTTGCAGCCCTCCGTGTTTCTTCAACAGTGGTGATGGGAAACACTGGGCTATTCTGCCTCCTGTGAACGGAGCAGAACTGGAACAGGCAGGGCCTCCCCATCTTCCTCCCTGACACACCACACTGGGACCCATGGGTATGTCTAGATTTTTCTGGGTCTTATTCTCTGCATTCATGTGAACCTCAAATTTCAGAAGACATATGTCAAGGGTCTCCTCTTCTCCCCTGTGGAGCAGCATACTTCTAGACGTCCAGACACTCTCCCAGGGGCATCCTCTCCTCTTCCCTCCCCAGGTGGCTGAACCAGGGAAGGCCTGTGGTCCTGCTATTCAGTAAATTCCAGCTGGGAAAGGAGATGTCGGACCCTTCTCTCACAGGCTGGTGCAATCCTTAGAGAGGATGCCTATGACCAATCTGCCTCCTGACTTAGGGGACAGGAAAGAACCTGCTTTTATCCTCAAACACTGCCCCCTCTAGAGTCCTAAGCACCTCTATTCCCTGTTAGACTGGACGAGGTCTGGGACTGGGGCAGGAAAGGTGGTCGGAGAGAAGTTTGCTGGGGGTAGGGCCACTGCTGCTGTCCCTTAACAAGCCCTGTAAGGAGATGGTTGGCTCCAGCAGCTGGGAGATTTCCGGAGGATGTAGAGTACTTAAGTGACTTTACTTTTAGACAAGAGAAGAGTTTTAGGATGCTATACCATTCTCATACCCATAAAAAGACATGTAATGATACACGGTTAAATAGTGGAGGCCCTAAAAAGATCAGAATGCCCCCGGCACCCTTCTCATATACAATTAATAAAAATCCTACTAGCTTATAACAAGTACAACAAAATGAAATATGTCTGATTTTTCCAAATGCTAAATTTCAAAGTCTTTAATAAAATATGGGGCCAGCCAGTAGCATGGTGGTTAAGGCAGACTGATCCTGCATGGTTGACTACTTGGTTTGAGTCCTGGACCCTGCTGCTCAAAAAACACTCCAGGCACATGTACATGAGTGCACCACATCCTGAGAGTAGAATGGAGGAGAAGAGGGAATTACGCTGTGGCCATCCCCCCAGGGGGTGATTTTTCACTTTTTCTCTTTCTCTCTGGCAAAGCATGCACCCTATATCGAGCTAAAATTAAAAAAAGGAAAAGAAAACAGAAAGTAGGTGGGTGCCTCTGCATATCTGGTGCCTTAAGCATGTGTTTATTCTGTTGGGGAACTCAGAACTATGCTATAGTCTTACTGAGAAGTTAAATAAGTGAATAAATATAAAGCATGCACATGCTTTTTGAGGTTGTAGAAGAGATTTTCTATAAATGAGAATACACACTCCTACAAACCTTAGTAAGTGAAAATAAATTCATGTCTGCGATAACTTTTTAATTTTATTTTTATATACTAACCAATTAAGATTATAATTTCTTCTTCTTCTTTTTTCTTTCTTGATTTGCCTGAGGGTGCACATACTCATTGAAGACAGAGAGAGAGAAAAAATGAGACAGCACTTCCAAGGGTCATGGTCACACTGCAATCCCTTCTCCTCCATCTCTCCCCTCTCTCGGGATTTTGGCCATGCATGAACATGCAGCCAGAATGTTTTCCAAGCTACTGGGTCTGGGACTCGAATCACACACAGTTGGCTATGTGGAATCTAGTGGCTTTCAGCACCATGCCGCTGGCTGGCCAAAGACTGTAGTGACTTTAGCTAGACAGGCAGGTTTTAAGTCTGGCTCCAATTATTTTAGGCAAGTAACTTTTTCTCTCTGAGCCCCAATTTCCTCATCTGTAAAGTGGAAAAAATAACAGTACCTACTTCATGGTGTTGTGAGAATCAAATGAGTTAATGAAAATAAAACACTTAACCTTAAGAAGTGTCTGGCATTGGGTTAGCAGGTGGCATGGTAGTTAAGGCACTGGACTCCCACATGGCTGACCACTGTCCCAGTCTTGAACCAGTCATGTGATATGCATATGTACAAAAGTCCCGATAAGAGAATGGACAAGAATGGTTTATGGCATTGCCATTCCCCTCTAAGGGGTGATTTCTCACTTTTCCTTTCTCTCTCTATGTCTATCGGGTGAGTACATGCACCCTATAGCAAATGAAAGAGAAGTGTCTGGCACATAGTAAACTCTCAAATATTAGCTATGTAGAACAATGGAAAGCTTCTTTATTTTTGTATTTTGTATATTTTCACTAGAAATGAAATGGATAAAATTAGCCTTTATGAGGTTGATTTTTTTCATATTTATTCTAAAGCGTTACTGGGGATGGGGTTAGAGTGGTGTGAGGGCTCTCTTGATATGACTTGAGGTAGACTTACCTGGTTCAGAGGAGCCACAGTACTCTGCACCAGTCATTATTTCTCTGAGCAGGCCAGTTGGTTACCCAGGCAGGGCAGACAAGCAGAAACAGAAGAGAATGTACACGGCCATCCATATGTCCAGGATTCCAGTGCTGGAAATTCATTATTAGCAGACCTTTCTCCCTACCCTAATTCACACTCATTCTCTTTCTGCATCTTGGTTATTCAGCTCCCCTCACAAACGCTGCATGTTTGTAGATTGATATTGAAGGGAAAAGTTTGACCTAACGATTCTTTTCCAATGGCTTCTTAATATTTCATTTATTGTTTCAGCCTCGTCACTTTCCAGCCTTCTGATCATACACAGCCTTATTAGCTTTATTGGCTACCTGCCGCAGATTGATTTAGTTGAATTTTCTGGAACAAGAGGTAGACAATTTATATATTTATTTCCTTACATCCTTTCTGTTTTTATCCATTTTTAAGCGTTCATTCTAAATTCATCACAGATGCTAGGTCTTAGCAGTCTTGATCTTCCCAGCAAATATTTGCCAGGCTGTAATTTTTTATTTGTTATCAACAGTCAAATTTAAACAAGGCTAATCTTGTTCTAATTTGGTTTGGATAAGCCCTAGTCTTGATACTTAGACAAAGCAATGGTTAACTTCTGGTTCTTTCTTCATTATGCATTATTCCTCATCCCTCATGTACAGTGGTCAATTTTTAAAAATAAAATAAAAACAATTTAGAATCAGTAGGAATCACACTTGGACTTGAACTTTAAATAGAAAGTAGTTTTGAAAGAACCTTCTGATACATGTGGATGGTTGTTGGTAAGGAGAGGACAGCAAGGAGATCTGTTTGATAGCCTACTCTTGTTATTGTTCTCTTTCTCTCTCTCTTTTCTTATATTGCCAGAGGCTGTATGCACTTGTCAGAGACAGAGAGAGAGATAGAGAGAGAGAGAGAGCTAGAGGGAGAGAGACAAAGAGAGAGATTGAGACGGAGGTAGAAAGCACCCCTCCATGGGGATGTAGTCATGCTGCAATCCTTTTCCTCCATTTCTTCATCCTGTCAGAATTTTGGACATGCACACACACACACATGCACTTGCATGTTTTCATGCTGCTGAAATTTGAACTGCCATTGGCTATGTGGGGTCTGACTCCTGGCGTAGAGCACTTCACCACTGCACTGCAGGGCTGGCCCCTCTTTCTCTTTTTCACTGCCTTACAGCATGTTCTTGAATGACCTGAAGTTGAAGGTGCCCTGAAACTACTGCAGCCCGGGTGGCAGCTGCTGTCTACACATGGGCTCCTGTGGGGACTGCCTGCTCTAGGCTGGGCTGGTAGATTGCAGAGGCAGAATTCCCAGTGTTGTGTGTGTATATTGGGATTTCCAAATGTTGCACACGTATATTTGCTGGCTGCAGGGGCAGAATTTCTGGTAAGTCGCTAGAGTGGGCAGTGGGAATGACTGCAGATGGCTGTTGAGCAGGTCACAAGAGGTCTTCTTAAATTTTGATTTCTGTTCAACCTAAGTATCATAATCAGAGACTAAATTCCAATGATACTTCCTCAAGCAATAGTTTGCAAAAGCACATGCCCATGTTTCCTCCAGGGTGCATCAGGACCCACGTTCCTTGCTTATGGCTGATATTAGAACAGTATTTCCTTCTCATATTTCTCTTTGTAAAGGAGCATGCACATGCTACCTAGCCAAGTCTTAGCTCAAGTTGTGCTTCCTCCTGGAAGTTCTCCTTGACCATTTCATTCAGGATGACCTCACATTATTTAAACCAGACATCCACCCAATACTGGTTGTGGGCCAATTAGAGAAAGTTTCATTAGGCCACAGCTGTGTCCATTTTTTTCCTTATGGCTGCTTTAAGAACAGTACCAGAATTGTGCAGTCATACCAAGGACCCTAGGACACCCCCTTTCCCCCAAGCCTAGAATATTTACTTTTTGGCCCTTTACTGAAAAAGTTTACTGGCTCGTATATTAACTGAGAGGGCTTAATATGTTTACCTTTCAGCATGACCTATAATAAAAGCTATTTATTTTATAGTTTGCAAAACTCTTACTTTTAAATTCACTATAGTCTCTTAGTATTTCTCAGACATTTTAGGTACTGAACAAACAATCTCAAAATTACACTTGGAGATTGGGGTGAGTCTGGGCAAGGTACAAAGAGAACCCACAAGGCAATTTTATTTCCAAGAAACAACATCCATTTATTACTGTCAGGTGATAGCAGAAAAGGCTCTCAGGGTACAGTGTGGTACCTAAACCAGTTCGTTCCAATCCAGAACTCTTACCTGTTCCCCATCTCAATTTAAGAACATAAAGCTTATCAAATTTCTATAAGGGTGAATGAATAGATAGTTTAATTAAAAAATAATATAGATCTTGGGTCCTCAGAAAAGTCATGACATATTTTTCATTTTTTCAATGCAAAAATACAATATGACTTTTCTGATGACCCAGTAGAAGTACAAATACTCAAAATCTGAACATTTGCATTTACTTAAAAAGGTCATATTTTATGGGGTCTTTTTAAACATTCAGATGTTATAAGAATCTGACTTGTGATCAGGATTGGGGTGTACATACACTTAACTCAGTGACCCAAAGCTATATGCATTTAAATTTATTCTCTCCTGCCTAGTGGTCAGCCCATCCCCAGGGTGGAGTACACAGAAGAAGAAACTAAAACTTGGGGTGTTGTATTTCGGGAGCTCTCCAAACTCTATCCCACTCATGCCTGCCGGGAGTATTTGAAAAACTTCCCTCTGCTGACTAAATACTGTGGCTACAGGGAGGACAACGTGCCTCAACTTGAAGATGTCTCCATGTTTCTGAAAGGTAAGGCTTCACACAGGCTGTCTCTTCCCGACCAATATCCTCATTTGCCTGCCTAGCACACCTGTCGCAACAATGGCTCTATTTCCAAA